CCCCTGACACCCGGGACCCCACTCCTTGAAGGGAGGAGTCCCGCCTTGTTCACCTGGGGATGCTCAGCTCGGTTTCCAAGGACTTGGGAGATGCCTGGGGAAAGTCAGATGAATGAGAGAGAGCGTGATGAATGAGCGAATGAATGAATTAGCTGTCCTGGGCCACAGGTGTCTGAGTGCATTCTCTAGTGGGAAACGAGTAAGGAAGAGAGCCACGGAACAGAGAAATCGGACAGGCTCGCAATTGTCCACCTATGTCAGTTTGACCCGGGTCAGCGGTCCTCAGACTTCACTGCGTGCGTCAGAATCACCTGGAGGGCTTGTTCAAACCTCGCTGGGGCCCCACTCCCGAGGTTCCGACTCAGCAGGTGGAGCTACAGAATCTGCATTTGTAAGAAGTTCCCCCACGTCGCTGCTGCTGTTGAACCACAGTCGAAGAAGTGCGGCTCTGGACCGATCCCAGCGTCCCAGAGAAACGACCTCTGCCTGGAGAATTGGAACTTCCAAGGCAATTCAAGGCCCGGCTTTTAAACAACAACAACAACAACAAAACCCTGGCCGCTGAGGACGGAGAACAGAGCTGCTCAGCTCCAGCTCCGTCAGAGCGCGAGAGCTCACTGGAAATCAAGGTTTTCGTTTGCATGTTGCCAACGTGCAAACGTCGGCAAGTTCATCTGTCAAGTGTAAGCCCCGTGCGAACAGATTAGCAGACGCTGCCCTAGTCTTTTCCCAGGATCGGAGCTCCTGGGACATCCTTTCGGAGCTCAGGGCTGGGCCAGTCCCACGCGGAGCAGGTGAAGCTGCCCGGAGAAGGCACCATCCGCACAGGCGCCGGGTCTGGCCCTTTGCTGCCGATTTCTCCTGTAAACCCGGCCTCCCCAGTCCGACTTCTCCTGTAAACCCGGCCTGCCCAGTCCGGACACCAACCGGCGCCTTGAGCAAAGCACCTGGAATGGAATTCGAAGCTGTCCCTGGAGGCGGGAGCCTGGGCGCTGACCTGGCTCTCTCTGGAGAGGCAAACTGGACACCCGCTTTCCCAGGGGCCCTGAAGGCGAAGGGGCGCCCCGTCGCGTGCATCCCGGGATTCCCCGTGTTGTTTTAACGTTCTATTTGCTTGTAATTCAAGTGTTCCATATTCATCACTGAAGAATTCCATTGTTTCGTTTTGAGAATTCTTAGAACAGTAACGGCATTTAGAGAGTGTTCTGAGCTCTATTAACTTGTATTCTTACGTTTTCTAAAGAGAAACGTAAGAAAACGCCAACAGATTGATGGGAACATAAAACGTAAAAACTGAACTGGTTATGTAACAACAGAAAGCAAT